TGACAAAACCTTGTCGAAACGTTGTACATTTGCTGTTATATTAAACTTATATTAAAGTTTTTCTTCATTAACCTACTCTTAATCTTATTCAGTTTGGAGTAGGGTTTTATGTGGCGCCGTCTGGTGTCAAGTCTATCGATCACATAAAAACACCGCCTTGACCTCAATTTTATTTCAGTGAATGATTATAAAACTTTTTATTTATGGTTAGTTCTCATTTGTGAGCAATAATACGATGTTTTTTATACTGCTGTCAATGCAAAGTGTTAAATACTTCCGTGCTCTTTCGTTTTAAATTCAAAGCGTTGAAAATTTTGTTCAAATGCACAGCTAACTTAAAAAAGATGGCTTAGTACTTCACGTGTTTATGGTTGGCGTCCCGTTGTCGCAGAAACGCGCCCTGCACTTTGAGTCTGTGGGTGTGTTATAGAAGTGACGGTTAAATCCCACTATTCTTCATACAAGAGTTGCTCGTGAAGTTGGCTGTAGGTGCTATTGACTAGCTGTCTTCCATCTAAGCTTTGCGCAAGAATTATAGAAAACAAACACAGTCCAGTGAATACGGTTTTACAATATCGTTTGCTTTTCTTTCTGGGTTTTGAAGTTTCTATTGATTGCAATTCTCTGAAGTGTAAGAGTGGGCAACGTTTCGATCCCTGTGCTGATGTTCTCATCAGTTCTTAAGCTCCTGGCGAAGGACTCAGCAGAAATGTTCTCCACTTCCTATACGCCAAGCAGATACAGTAAATAAAAACTTAGCTTTTTTTTGGCAGCGAAACTGGGGTTTATTAGTTTATTGGTTATCTAATTTATAAGTAGAGACATATTCAATTACTTTTAAATGATTTGTTTAATTTTGAATTTCGTACAAAGCTGCTAGAGAGCTATCTGCGCTAGCCGTCCCTAATTTAGCAGTGACAGACTAGAGGGAAGGCAGCTAATCAACACCACCCACCGCCAACTCTTGGGGCTACTCTTTTACCAACGAATAGTGGAATTGTCCGATATATTATAACGCTCCCACGGCTGAAAGGGGGAGCATGTTCGATGAAGGGGATTTCCAAACGGAGGTTCCTCAAATATGCATATGGTTTGGAATCACTATTTCTAGTTTTGTTTAGGCTTATTACTAAAATATTCCCAAGTTTCTAATAGTTTGAAATATTGGGAAAGAAAAGAGTACCATAAGTTTAGGGCCAATAAAACAGTGGATTATGTTCATTAACAGGGTGCCACAAGTTTAGGACCAATAAAACAGTGGATTATGCTAACATAATCCAACGTTTTCTTGGCCCTAAACTTATGGTACCTGTTAATGAACATAATCCAACGTTTTCTTGGCCCTAAACTTATGGTACCTGTTAATGCGTTAACAGGTACCATAAGTTTAGGGCCAAGAAAACGTTGGATTATGTTCATTAACAGGTACCATAAGTTTAGGGCCAAGAAAACGTTAGATTATGTTCGTTAACAGGTACTATAAGTTTAGGGCCAATAAAACAGTGAATTGTGTTCATTAACAGGTACTATAAGTTTAGGGCCAAGAAAACAGTGGAAGTTTTCTATTCTATTAAGTAGAAACGCTTAATAAGATATCACATCACCACTGTTGGTTCTTGCACAGATGATTAATTTAGAATCCATTCATGAAGGATCTCCATGGGGATCGCGACTGTTGGTAGTGTAGATTAGCTTTTCACAAAATTTTGGGTCACGATCCCTTCGTGTAGGATCGATCTCCAGAGGAATTATGAGCTTTGAATAATGTCATGTTTTTAAAATAAGCAAAATCCCATGGAAATCTAAAAAAAAAAAAAGAAACAAAATTGTCGGTATTGTTATAGTGATCCAAAAGTTTTCACACACTTAATTGTACCATTCACACTTCTTGTACCATTCACACTTCACGTTGTTTAAGCCACATTGGTATATCTGCTGTGTTCACCACGGGAAATCAAACCTGGAATTTTAGCGCTGTTAGTCCAAAGACTTACCGCTGTTCCATCGAGGGACAAAAAGTTGAATTAGCTACTATCGTTAAATTTTGTTTGTTTATTAAGCACAAAGCTACACATCTTGCTATTTGCACCGTGCTCGTCACGGGTATCCAAACCCAATTTTTAGCGCTGAACCACTGGGGGTCTCACACTAAAATCCGGAGCTCGATCTCCGTGACAAACGCAGAGCATAAATCCCATTGTGTAACTACAACCTAAGACAAAACAAATTATCTTATGTTGATTGGTTATTCACTTAACCAATCGACCAATGAGGAAAAGAAAGAAAAAAAACTAAAGTTATCGATTTTTCTAACTCGGCATGGCCAGGTGGTTAGGGCACTCGACTCTCAATCTGAGGGTCGCGGGTTCGAATCCCCTTCACACCAAACATGCTCGCCCCTTTTAGCAGTGGGGGCGTTATAACGTGACGGTCAATCTAGCTATTCGTTGGTAAAAGAGTAGCCCAAGAATTGACGGTGGGTGGTGATGACTAGCTGCCTTCCTTCTAGTCTTACACTGCTAAATTAGGGATGGCTAGCGCAGATAGCCCTCGTGTAGCTTTGCGCGAAATTCAAACAAGCAAACAGATTTTCTACTCTACGTTCGAATCACTGACTGATTCAGTTGTCCGTACAGAATCGTGTAGTTATTGATTATAGCAGCTTTTTTTTTATTATTATTAATCCCGCATTTCAAACCAATGCTCTCTACTTACCTCCCGGTTTGACAGACAGCCTTGACATCGTGCATGCAACCCGTCTCCTCGTGCAAATTCCCCCTCCCCCCCGCGTGCCTGGCGCTTCCTGTTGAACGACCGGTATATGGGTCAGGGACAAAAACAAGAACGTTTATGCGCATGCTCCAGGGAAGACTGTATGCGACAATCGATCTTCCCGTCTAGAACAGAAAGTAAAACTTTTCACACTCGGGAAAAAAGTTTGCAGTACATATTTCGGTAAAAAAATAACAACAAAACCAGAATGAGTAATATTGCAATGGTCCTTGTTTTGTTTGTTTTGTTTTTCATCTTTACCATTCACGAACAAAACATCTCGAACACTGAATAACGATTTCGTTGGTGTAAAGAAGCTCGTATTGCAAAACCGTAACTTGAAGGGTATGTTATCGACCCTTCTGCTCTGGTCGTCCTTCACAAGTTGTTACGAGCTATGTTGCTTAGGTTGAACAGCCTGAGAACTTCGTTTCTTGAAAGTGGGCAGTAAAAATCAAGGTGAAACACCTAGAAATAAAGCCCCTTTGTGTCTCACGTTTGCATTTTACGTTTTTCTCCGCCCTCTTGCAAGCAGCTGAGGGTATGTTGGTGTGTGTGTGATTTAGAATTTTTTGAGGGGAAGGCGGGGAGTAATTAAAATAAACTTTAACCGTCTAACATCGCGAAGTTGGGGGAGGCTAGATTATTAGCCTCTAAAGTTGATTGTGAAGATAACTTGTTTGTCGTTGATTAAAGTTACACAATGGGATTGCTGCTTGTCGCGGGGATCGAGCTCCAAATTTTAGTGTTAGAGCTCCCAGTGGCTCAGTGGTAAGTCTGGAGGATTATAACACTAAATACACAGGTCTGCGAATTCAAACGTCTTAAAAGTTATTTTGGTTTTAATAACGGATTTTTTTTATAATTCAGCTACGCAGATTTCGAAAATAACATTTTTCTATCACGTTAGGATTTTTTTTACAAATTGGGAAGAAAAAAAAAACTCTAACTTAGATCATATTATTATTTCGTTTACCACAATGAACATTTTTTATTATTATGTTTCTTAACAAAAATACAAACAAACTGAAGAAAATGGAAGAACATTGATGTCAAACGAATGTCATCCTGATTTGTGTGTGTGAAATATACGTCTTTTAGTCTCAAAACTACGTGTTGTGGTCTTTCTTTTATGTTCTGCGTTATGACGTTTTGTGAAAAATCTGTACGTGATGGAGAAAAATGGATATCATTTTCGGATTCAGCGTACAGGAATTACTGTGGAACATGTAAAATTTTCAAGACAATGAAACCATCGCAGGCCTGTGTTATTTGCAAGTGCAATCTTTACTTTTTTTTCAGGATCGTCTAAAAATGTGAATTTTTTATAAAATAATAAAATATTTGTGACATTTACACACATATCTCTCCCCACCCCCACCCTTTTAGTGGCTCTAGCGGAAACTATGCAGATTTGCGACGCTAAAAAAAAAAACACGTTTCGATTATATGTGGTGAGCACAGTACAGTTAACTCATTATAGAACCTTTTGCTTAAGAACAACCAACCAAACTCTTTTTTTTTAAATACATCTCATTATTTTGATGTACTTAATTTTCCACACCAAGCTTTATTATAAATGAATTAAAAAAAAAGAAAACAACTCTGATGTAAATGATGTAAACACTTGTCTTGTGTAGTAGCTATTTCAATCAAAATTATTTTCAGACCGAGGAAGCCACCGTGGCTAAAGATCTTGGAAAGCGTTTCGTGTGCGAAAAACTTTATCCAAATATTTAACATTGAGTTCATAGTCCTATATTGTTTATTACGGCAACTTTCGCAGTTTGTCGTCAGCAGCGACCTCTGTATGCAAAGTTGGTATCCATGGCACTGAGGAAAATAATAATATAGGTTTATGGTTTTTGTTTGCCATCTTTTCGTAACTTTATTGATAGTTTAAAAACGGTTAACTTTAGTTAATCTTGTTACATGGTAAAGGTTTATCTCCCCTTTACTTCTGTTTTAATTAAGAAAGATTATACAATAGTTTACATGTTTTTGAGAAGATAAATGTGTATAATTTTCTGAAAACAAAACACAAATAAAATAATTTACTATGGACTCGTTTTTAAAGAGTATTGTATAAAAACAATATCTTTGTCATATTTCTACTACACAGTTCCTTTGTGATCTTACGTTACTTTTACTGTCTGAAAGATTTGTTTAGGTTATTTGTGATTTCATTTTATCTTCACTGTATGAATGATTTCTTTTCGACTTTACAGTAAATGGATCCTGTGGCGATACACAATCCGACTTCAGAGGTAGTGAAATGACCAGTGGTACTCTTCTCTTGAAAAGATCCTCAGGTCACGACAGTAAAGCCACAACATTACTTCAGAATATTCTCCAACAACCTCCTCAGAGCTTACCATACTCTCTGACTCAACATCCAGCTCTCTCCTGCAACAGTACTACAGGTCAGTAGAAAGAACTTAAGTGAAACCATTGTTTGAGTGGTCGTACTTAAGGTCGAATATTACACTACACAGTTGTATTTCACCTCTCACGTTAGATTGTGTATGTGTGTGACGTAATATCTGACTCATTTGGTTACTCTTGCCATTACTTTTTTTATTATTACCGGTACACATGTAAGTTACATATTTCAGGCTCAAAAGGTTAGGCCTCACACACAACACGTGTTGATGCATAAAATTAAACGTTTTTCAATTCTTATATGTGAAAACACCGGACTAAACCCACGCTCGTGCACACAGATCTACCCTAATTATTCATATTAACGTTAAAGTCACACTTATGTCTTCGAGATTGGTAATATGTGGTAGTTAGCTACATAGACTCAAGTCACACTTATGTCTTCGAGATTGGTAATATGTGGTAGTTAGCTACATAGACTCAAGTCACACTCATGGCTCCGAAAATGGTTATATTTGAGAGTTGTGTACACAAACTGCCTAAAAACAAGTCATAAAATGTTACAAACGTATTGGTTTATTCATACATTAGATTAGTTCAAATGATGAGTCGTGTGTCTTGCTGAAAGACATTTTTTTTTTCTGAGGCCTTTTCATTCATTAACTCTGTGAATAGCCAGTTTTCAAAATCCTGCTTGGACGAGGTTTTTTTTCTGTCTCGATATTTGGCACGACATTAAGTCTAGTAAAACCACATTGTTGGAGGATGAAACCTGATCTTTTGTCTCTCAAAACCAACCTGCCTTTCTGTTTTTGGTCCTTTCACTTCACCCACCACTCACGCGCGAACTTCCCCGTCACTACAAAGTTGAAGGGTGCGAAGGGGTCATACAAATATAGCTTAGTGTCTCAAGGTTAAGTGAGTGAGCCAGTAATGAGGAGGTCATTTGGTTTATAACTCTTAAGCTTGTATCCAGCAAACAGATGGTCACATTATAAACTCAAACATATGATAGGAATCGGGAAGGGGGGGGGGGTAATAATTTTCCAGGAGCTGCTAGTTCTCGGCTCATTCTGTTCTTAGGGCGAGATAAACGCCCGTGTACACTGACTACGACATTAGAGACAAACATAAGAAACCCTATACTATAACCCCAATGCTTTAGAAACTCGAACCTTTCTCCATCAGGGGGTAAAAAAAGATGAAGTAATATCGACCTTTCGAAAGTGCTCGGGTTTTAGGGTTTCTTACGTTTGATAAAGTTTTGAACCTACGTGTTTTTCTAACATCATAATTAAAATATTAAAGAAAATACATACAATGGTGACCTCATTTCAGTAACAATAATCAAATCATTTAGGTTGTCTAAAAATTAAACTTACGCTGGTAAGGCTTGTTAGTATGTAGTATTTTAAAGCTGAACGGTACTTTATGAACTTACGCTGGTAAGGCTTGTTAGTATGTAGTATTTTAAAGCTGAACGGTACTTTATGAACTTAGGCTGGTAAGGCTTGTTAGTATGTAGTATTTTAAAGCTGAACGGTACTTTATG